CCCCCAAACAACGTGAATTGTAAGATACTTTCTCATTTAGGAAATCATCTACAAGTGATACCTCTTCCATTTTTACATCAATAAAGAAATGATAGAAAGAAAATCGTTGAGAAACTTAAATTGTTTTGTAGTTTTTCGGTTGCACAGGTGTAGTTTGCTACTTTTTTCGTATCAAACATACCCTATTGTTTGTCTTTATCTTTCCTCTTTCTTCTCTTTGTATGTTATTCTCTAGTAACACGTCTATTTTTCGGCACTTAGGTCATGTGCGAGTGCCGCATAACTCTTACTGAAACTTACATTATTTACCTACTTACTACCAGCAGTAATTGATTCCTGACTTCGAGTTGGGGAAGTAAAGGCGGCATGGAAAGGAACTGGCCACCCTACCACAATATGCAGAAGGCCCAGGAAGTTGTCTCTCTAACAAGGCAATCCCCAATGTCCGGATCGGATGCGGGAACAACTTTACTTTTTACTACCTTACTCTCTTCTTATACCATCAGGTACATAAGGCTGGGGGCAGTCGACGCCACGCTTGCCTGTCCCGGGCTACATTCTCCAATCTGGGCACATACTTAAATTGTATTAATGTATGTGGCTGGTTGGCGGGTGCTCTGATGTGGTTTGCTTCTTCTTCCCTATCAAACATCTATTGTCCTTATCTCACCTCCTTCTTTTTTGTGTTTTGTTACTCTCTTGTAGCACCTCCAATCTTCGGCTCTTATATGACCTTATTGTGTTGCAAGTGCTGTAAAACTCTTACTAAAACTAAAACTATTAATGTATTGTATCTCCAGCTCCAAACTCCATCTTGTGGACCTAGCGGGCTCGGAGCGTGTGTCTAAGACAGGAGTGGACGGCCAGCAGCTGACGGAGGCCAAGTCCATCAACCTGTCGCTGCACCACCTGGAGACCGTCATCATTGCCCTGCAGGCGGAGCGGGCGGGCAGTGCCGAGAGGAGCAGGCCCGAGACCAACCCTAACGCCAGTCGGAGGTGATACTGGGGGACATGGGGGGTGGGGGAGGTAATATGGGTGGACATGGTTGAGGGGGGGAGGTAATATGGGTGGATGT